TCTCACCCACCTTTCCAAAGAACCCCACATAGGGCACCAAGAGATGAACCAGAGTTGCTCTGCTCCTGCACAGATAGGGTCTGCACAAGCTACCGCCTCTGCAGCTGAGAAGCATCACGGTTCTTCATGGCTGGCCATGTCCTCCAGGGTTGCAGCAGCCCCCAGCAGCTCACCATCAGTGCCTTCTTCCTGGATTCTTGTGAATTCAAAGAATGAAACCCACATCCCAGGATGAGTGGGTGTAACTGCAGGATTTACTGAAGAATCAAAACAGAAAACCGAAACTTGTCCAGCAGGGCAAGAGGGGACCCTATAGGGTTGCCATCTGAGTGTGCTGGTCTAAGGGTTTATGCAGCACCTGGGCCGATGCTATTGGTCCAAATGTATACTAATGAGAGCTTAGAAAAGTATAATGCTATTTTTTCAAAATTATGCTAATTAGGGTTTGGAAAAGTGTGAGAGGCCGCCACATCATGTGACCAGCGTTTTTCCTCTCCTGATTGGTTGAGGCACTGCCAGTCATTCCGTGATCTGGCCAATTTTAAGTGGCTGTAGACGGTAGCCCCGATCTTGAGAGTAGTAAAAATGTAACAAATGTGACTTCATGCATAGGCATGCCTTCCTGCAGCCCCAGGGGTCAAGCTACACTCCCCTGTTCCTTTGTGATACTACCCCTTTGCCCTGTTTGGGGTAGAATGTTCCATGGAAACGCCCTTTGTGTGTCCCCTTCTCTTGCTCTGCCCTTGGGTGTGGCCTCCCTAGATGCCAGTCAATCTGCTGACAGTGGACATCAGGAAGCAGACTCAACCCTCTGAAACCTGACCCCTTGTCTCATTTGAACAGCTTCCCAATAAAAGGGGTCAGCACGTGCTTGCTCGCTCTCTCTTTTTGCAGACCCTTAAGGTCAGAGGAGCTGTCACAACCCCCAAAGTAAAAGGTATTTCTGTCTCTTGTGTGGTTATTTCAGCAGCCCAGTTCCCCCGGAGTGACCCTGAGTGTTTTAGTCTCGAGGAACGTGGCAGAAAAGTACTAAACGCTATTGGTTAGCCCCACTTCTGTTTTCCCACTGCTTGTCAGGAAGCATGAGGTTGCAGTGAGCAGATTGGCAGATGGTGCACACCCAGGGTTTCCAGGCTAGAGCACTGCATGGAGTGGTCTCCTACACGGGTGTCCTCACCAGGCCAGCCAGGCGGTTGGGGATGACAGGTCCATGTGCCTTGGCTCACCTTGGCACTGGCCCACCAGGACCACAGCCAGTGCTCACTGTCTGGGCTCAGGCCCACCCAGGGTGCTGCTCTGGAGCACCACCACTCTTCTCCTGCTTCTCTGCAGGGACCAGTGGGCTGGCAGCACAGCTTTGTGGCCTGGGAGCCACATCAAGAGGTTCATCCAAACTTTATTTGAAAACAGTGTCAAATCTGGTGGTGGTGGTGGTTGTTGTTGTCGTTATTTTAATTTTCATTTCTGACCCTGTGAACATTTGCTTTGCAAAGTTGCAGCAGCTTCAATCGGAGGTTCTAGACTCTTTGGAGAATTCTCATAATTTTCTGATGTTTTAATACAAAGTACATATGTATGATTTTAAGTCAACTTTATTACGTGTGGTTTAACTTTTCACATTTTAACTGAACATTTGAATGAGCATGGATAAATTGACCTGTACCAGTGTAATGATTCACTACAATCAATCAATACAGAACTTTTACATCACCCCCCAAAATTCCCTTGTGTTTCATCATAGTCAATCCCCTCTCTCAACCCCAGACCCCAGGAAAACACACATTCAACACTTCTCACTGTAGATTACCGTGGTACCAGAGTAAAAGACACATCAACTAATGGAGCAGGCCAGAGAGCCCAAACAAAAACCCAGGATTTATAATTCATTGGTCTTTGACAAAACTGCCAAGAACATACAAAGGGAAAGGACAGCCTCATCAACAATCACTGCTGGAAAGACTGGACCCTTATCTCACTCCACATACTCAAAATCAGCTCACAATGGATAGAGGATTCCAATGTAAGACCCAGGGCTGTAAAGCGAAAACATGGGGGAGATATCCACAACACTGGTATCGCAATAGAGATTTAGGATAAAGAGAGAGAAACGCTAAATCTTAAAGGAAACACTCACAAACCATTAAGATGTAGAAAGCATAGTTTTAAATCTTGAGCTGCATGTCCTTAGCCCTTGCCCTTGTGAAATGAGGAAATACACAAGCTCAGGGAAAACTGGCATGAAATTTTGCAGTCCAGCTCCTGATACAGCCCTTCCATAGTATTTAACCCCCAATCCAAGTCATGGCTGCTCTCACTCTTGAGACAGCCTGATTTCTCCTTTGAATGTGTATCTACCTTCCTAAATAAACCTCTGTCTACGCCTTTGTCTGGCTGGTGCTGAAATTCTCTCTGTAATGTATGCCAAGAACCCTGCCAGTCCTGAGTTGAGTTCCCCTCTCTTCTGGGGACTCCTCAGACCCTTCTCTGGAGACATCTTTTCTCCATGACAGTCTGGGCTATGATTTTTTGGGTAGTGCCCTAAAAGGACAGGCAAAAGAAAAATAGATGAGTAATTTTGTGTCACAATAAAAAAAATTTCTAAACTGTAAAAGAAAAAATGAACAGAGTTTAAAAAACAGCCCACAGATTGGGAGAAAATATTTGCAAATTATGCTTTTAATAATCAGATAATATCCAAAATGAAAAAGGCCATTAAATAACTCAATAGCAAGAAAAAATAACCCATTTTCTAGTTGAGTTGGGTTTCTTGTTTATTAATGAGCTTTAAAAGTTCTGGGTATATTTTTGATAACTGTTCCTTATCATATATGTCTTTTTAAAATTTTTTATTTGTTTTAATTAGTTATACATGTCAATAGAATGCATTTATGTACTTTGATATATCATACATAGATGGGATATAATTTCTCATTTCTCTGAATGTACATGTTGCAGAATCACATTGGTCATGCAGTCACATATATACATGCAGTAATAATGTATGTTTCATTCTACTATCTTTCCTATCCCCAAATCCCCTCACCTCGCCTCCCATCACTTCTTTCTACCTAATCTAAGGTAACGCTATTCTTCCCTAGTGTCCCCCACCTTATTATGTATTAGTATCCACATATTAGAGAAAACATTCGGCCAGTGAATTAACCCTCTGATGGGATTAACTGAGTGGTAACTGAAGGTGAGTAGTGTGTGGCTGGAGGAGGTGGGTCATTGAGACTTTGGGGTATATGTTTTGAATCTGGAGAGTGGACTCTGCTTCCTGATCATCATGTGAGCTGCTTCCCTCTGCCACACTCTTCCACCATGATGTCCAGCCTCACCTCAAGCCCTGAGGAATGGAGCCTGCTATCTGTGGATTGAGACAGCTGAAATCATAATCCTCCAAATAAATTTTCCTCCCTTAAAATTGTTCTTGTTTGGTCTTTTAGTCATAGCAGCCAAAAAGCTGACTAAAACAGGAAGAAAAGGGCAAAATTGTCATGAAGATTTTCACTTGAACATGTTGGGAATGAACAAGCAGAATCTGTGCACTTACAAATAGAAATTGTCCCCCTTATACCATGACCTCACTCCCCAACTGGACCCTATCAATAACCTGAGAGCCTCCCACTAAGTCCCATGTCTCAAAGTTCCACCCCTTCCCAATAGCACCATCCTGCGAACCATGTTTTCAACATGTGGGCCTCTGGAGGACACTTAGGCAAACCACAGCTGTGCAATCAGAGGGGACTCTGTCATTCAGAGACTCATTAAATCAACAAATAGCAGATCACAAACATGCATATTTGAAAATTTAACTGACAAACAATTAGTTTAACTTCTGAGAAGTTGCCTTAGTGAAAGATGCTTGTCTTCGATATCTTCTTTGAGAAAACATCTCTCTGTTACAAAGAAGGAGAAAACAAGGAGATTATAAATCACAGACAAGAAGATGAATAAAAAGATTTGAGCCAGATGTGATGGTGCATGCCTGTAATCTTAGCAGCTTGGGAGGCTGAAGCATGAGGATTGCAAGTTCAAAGCCAGCCTCTGCAACTTAGTGAGGCCCTAAGAACTTAATAAGACCCTGTCTCTAAATAAAATTTAAAAATGGCTAGAGTGGTTGCAACAATTTGCAGTCCCACCAGCAAAGTATTGATGTACACACTCTGGAAAGCAGTATAGAGATTCCTCAGAAAAATTTGAATGGAACCACCACTTGACCCGGTTATCCCACTCCTCTTTATATACCCAAAGGAATTAAAATCAGCACATTATAGTGACACAGCCACATCAATGTTTATAGAAGTTCAAATGACAATAGCAAAGCTGTGGAACCAACATAGGTGCCCTTCAGTGGATGAATTATTTTTTAAAATGTGGTATATATACACAATGGAATATTACTGAGCCATAAAGAAGAATGAACTTAGGATTTTTGCCAGTAAATGGATGGAACTGGAGACTATCATGCTAAATAAAATAAGCCAATCCTAATAAACTAAAGGCTAAATGTTCTGATATGAGGATGCTAACACACAAAAAGTGTGTGTGGGTGGGGAGAATAAAAATTGGATTAGACAAAGAGGAATGAAGAGAAGGGAGGTGGGATGGGACTAGGAAAGTCAATAGAATGAATCAGACATAACTTTCCCACGTTCATATATGAATACACGACCAGTGAAACTCTGCATCTTGTTTAACTGCAAGAATGGGAAGTTATACTCCATGTATGTTCAATATGTCAAAATATACTCTACTGTCAGGTGTATCTATAAAGAACAAATAAAAACAATAAATCACATAAAAACTAAACTGAAAAAAAGGGGCTTAGGGAAGTGGCTTGGTTGTTAAGTACCCGTGGAACAACAACAACAAAAAAAAAGATTTGAGTAAGCCATTAGACCACAGGGCAATGGTTTTTCAAAATGTGAGGTGTAGACATCCAGACTGCCCTCCCCCTTCCATCTTCCTGCCCCACCCCACAGCCAAGGGCAAGGTCCTTACCTGCCACAGTCCCTGGAGATGGGGGATGAGTGGCACTGGGACTTCACTCCCAGAACTTTCAACCTCACAACAAACTTCTTCTGGGGACTAAAAGACTCGGGGCAGCAGAGCTCAAAGCAAGGCCAGTAGATGCAGTTGGGACCACACAGGCGGGACCGGTTCAGGGGCAGGATGGTGTCATCGTCACAACACTTCTGCAAGGGGTTGTAGATGTGGTCCCCACACCTGGGCGCTGGCTGGCACAGCCATGGGCCAGTATCTGGAAGAGACAGAACTGGGTCAGCTTCAAGGACCAGCCTAGTACCTGCCCCCGTCCACAGAGCCATCTCCTCCCTCCTCATCCCACCTGTTCTCACCTGTGACTCCTGAGGGTGTTGAGCCCAGGAGTTCAGACATGAAGACAGCAGCTGAAAATAAAAGGGAAAGTAAAGTGACTCTGGGGGTGTAGCCAACTGGCCGTGATCAGGGGCCAAAAGATGATGTCACTGAGCTTCTTGGATGTGAGATGGCTGGTGATGGCTGAGTGGATTTTGAGACCCACTGCGGGGTCAGGTCAGAGCTGGCAGGTGAGGAAATGCAGGGAGGTCTCTAGAAAGAGTGAGGCCTCTGAAATTTGCAGGTGGACAGAGGGTTGCAGTGCAGTCAGGAAAGACAGGGGTGATTGCCAGGTGGGAAGCTGAGAACTGAATACAGAGGAGAGAACTGAGTTTGAGGTTCAGAGGAACAAAGGGGTGAGAGAACACTTAGGCTCAGCTTGGGGTGGAGTCTCCTTACCAAAGATTAAGAGCAGCATGGTTCTGCTTCAGCTGCAGAGCAGGAGGAGGCAGAGCAGCAGAGGAACTATGTGGGACCTTGGGCCTGTGGGAGTAATGAAATGTGCCTAGGGAGGAGTCCAAAGTGGTGGCCCTTCCATCTTGAATTGCAACAGAGGCAGTGCCTTGTGGGAAGAGCTGGGCCAAGGATTGGCATTTGAAACCACCTATCAGTTAGATTTATTTAAAAGGTATTTTATTTGAGGAAGTTCCAAAATAAATTGTATTGTTTTGTATTTCAAATTGTACTTGTTTATTGCTAGTTTGTAGGGAAGCAATTGTCTTTTGTCTATTAACCTTATATTCTACAACCTTGCTATAATCACTTCTTAGTTCCAGTAGGGTTTTTTGGAGTTTTTGTTAGTTCTGTTTAATTTTACACATATGTAGAGAATCAGATGTGACTACATTACTATTACTATCCTTGATGGAGTCTGCCTGCAAACGGGATATTCTGTCAAGGTATAGATAGGTAACAGCGGACATGCTTGAAAACAAGGTGTCTGCTGTCCTTGGGAGGACTTGCCTGCAAACGGGATGTTCTGCCAAGTGGGCTAGGAGGGCGCTAAGAAAAATTTTATTATCTGTTCTTAACAAAGAGCAGAGCTCAGCATACTCCAGGCCGAGAGTAGATTAGCCATGAGAAGCGGGTCACTTCTGATTAGAAAGTAAAACTTCTGTATGCTATGTTTAATTAGCTGAAAGACCTGATTTATTGATGTTGGAAGGCTGCCTTCTTTGTTCACAATACTATTAAAAGATTGCTTGTACACAACAAAGGACTTTTTTTCTGCTGCTGCTTCGCTTGCTCTGCTTCTTCTTTCTTTTCCCATGCTGACCTGCAAGTGAATTACTGCAACACACATACAAAATCATGTCATCTGTGAAAACTACAGTCTTCCTTCCCTGGGGAACATTCCAGATCCAAACTATAGCACTCATCCCCAGATGGTTCATGTCCATCTCACACTGCAAAATGCATTTATTCTATTCCCAGAGTCTTCAAGTTTTGACTGTTCTATCATTGCTCAAAATTCCAAGCCCAAAGCCTTCTCTGAGACTGAAGACAAACTCAGCTGTGAGTGCCTTTAAAAGCCAAAAATAAAGTAACATTCTTCCAGGGTACAATGGTGGGACAGACAGGGGGTGAACATTCCCATTTCAAACGTGAGGAATGGTAAGAAGGGATTGGACCAAAATAAAACCAAAAATCAACAGGCCCAACATTAAATCTTCATGCTCTACATCTGCCCTCTGAGGCACACTGTGGAATTGGTACTAGAGTCCTGGACCAGAGGCCCAACTCTGGGGCTCCCAACAAATTGCATCTGGCCACTCACCCTAAACTCTACGTGGAAGAAGTAGTGGCGAAAAGCAAAAAGGAAACTTTATTTAGTGTAGCTACACCAGGAAGACAAGGGGGACTGCACACTTAGCTCCTTCTTTGAGAAAATGTCAATGACCCTAAGGTTTTACAGAAAGAGAAATGAGGGCAAGTGTTGGGGTTCTGTGTACCTGGAAGTTGCATAGCTGGAAAAGCAGGTAATCAATCTTTGTCAAGCATGGTCCAGTCTGTCATTATGCCACAATGGTCCGGCAGTGCTGTTGCCTGCAGAGGATAATTTCCACTCATCACAAGATGCTTATCAATCAGACACGTTATTCCTGGAATCCAATGACTCAAACAAAGCAAAGGGAACAGATGCAAAATGGAAGCAGAGATGCCAAGATTATTATCCTTTATCTTTTTAGCTACCCAATGGACATTTTCAGTCCTAAGTGAAGAGTCTGAGTCCTGTGCAGCAGGAGGTGGGCTCCCAAGGGTTTGGCAAGGCTTTTCCCAGTGGTTCTGCTGATTGCAGTCTACATGGCCACTGTCCTGGGCTGGCGTCCCTCTGCAGACATTCCACATCTGCATCTCTCTCCCTGATGTCTCCAGTGCAGCCTCAGCTTCACTCTCATGGCTCCACTCATCACCAAGTTAGGGATGTTTGCAGGGACTCCCACTCTGGGGCCCACTGCGCCACCTCCCAGGCTTTCATTGAAATCTTGGTGGAAGCCTCCATGACTGTTGCATTCTGCACACCTGCAAAACTAGCATCTCATGGACTGCATGTCACCAAGCTCTGACACTAGTAGGAGCTGAACCTGGGTCCATTGGACCCACAGCCACAATGCCCTGTGAATTCGAGAAAATGAAGAAACAAAATCCCTCATTGATTTGGGGTGTGCAAAATGTACTGGGGCCCTTTTCTCAGAAGTCCTTGGCCTGAAAAGTCTTTGAAACAAATTTGCATTTCTACACCTTTGGGCTTTTGATGAGTGCAGTGGCCCTGCTGTTTTCCCCAAAGTGGCCTCCAGCATCCTTCTTATTGTCCCAGGGTAAAGCATTTTGCTCTTTATTGATTCTAGAAACCAAACCCTCCCCTCTTTGGCAATGCTTTTAAACACGCTCCTTCTCTGGCCAAATTATAAATTTTCCAAATCTGTCTGCTCTACTCCCTTCAGCTTTAAATTCTCTTATAAATTTGTCTAAAAGCAGCTAGAAATACTATAAGGTCCTTTCTTAGCATCAGAATGGCCATCTTCAGTGACAGCCATCATTTTAAGAAAAAAAGTTTCACTTTCCAATCCAAGGGCATTTCTGAGAAAGGTTGACCACTCCCTCATACAAACCCAACCCCTAACCACCCACATTAGGAGCCACCTGGCTCTGTTTTCCTGAGCCTGCCCCATAAAAGTCCCAGAACCCAAGCTGTTTTGCCTCTCTTTGCTATAGAGATGGCCTTTATTTGTCAGCTTTGACAAATAAACTCTCGTGTGTATCTCTGCCTGGTCTCTGTCTTTTATTTCTCACTTATCCATCTCTCATTCCTCATTTTCCCTTCGAATTCTCATGCTACTGTCTGAATATTTTGCTGATTTGAAATTTCCTCCAGCAGATAAATTTATCCATCAACATTAAACTCAGCCTCCTACAAAATCTCAGGGAATGAACAAAATGCATTCAAATTTTTTGCCATGATGTAGCAAGGATGGCCTCTAGTCTCCTCTTTAATCTGAAACCTCATCAGCATAGTCTTTATTGTCCGCATTCTTTTTTTTTTTTTTTTTTTTGATGACAGTTACCTTTATTCACTCAATGCCTGAAAATGCATCTGCTTACAGACCCCAGAATAAAGATTGCCTCTGAGCATGTTTTTTGTTTTTGTTTTTTTAAAGCAGCTTTAGAGACATCTGACTGCTCACACAGTAATCCTGAGAATCCCAGGTACAGTGATGGATATGATGGGAACAACAAGCTTTGAGAATTTACATCATGTAAAAATAGACACATGGGTGGGGTCCCCTGGCGAGGAGCCCAGGCAGCTGGCACAGCCCTGGGCCTTCCCTCCTAGCTGGTGCAGTTCTTGCTGGGTTACTCCAGGCACAAGGGTGCCTGTGACCTGATAAAGACTCTTAAGTTGTGAAACTGGTCTTTTGGTGACACTCCCCAAGAAGGGAAGGGAGACACCCCCATGCAGGCAGCCAGAAGAGCTAGGGGCTTGGATCTGGAGGGTATTTAACTAGGGATGGGAGGGTTGCTTCCCACTGGACATGCAAGTAGAGTGGGGGAACCCTAACGGGATTTGACAACTTCTAATTACTGTGGGAAGCCATCCTGACACGTGACTGGGCGGCTCCCGTTGAGGGTCTGAGGCTTCTGGCTGTGTCGGAATTTTCCCGGCCCTTTCCTGATGAGAGAACCCGTCCGTGTGGGGGTGTGACTGACCACTGACCCCGGGGGCCCAATCACTGACCCTGACCTTGGAGTGCAGCCCCCCCTCAACCTTCATTGGATGGAATTATCCCCTGAATTTCTTGTTCCCCAATAAAAGGCTACTCCCTGGCATGTTCACTCTCTCTCTCTCCTGCTAGCCCTGAGTAATCCTTGCTGCCCTGCTGGGCGGTTAGAGGTTGGAGCCAGAGAGGGGAGCCGTCTCGGACCTGGCAATAGAAATAAGGTAACTGAGTCTGTGTGTTTTATTTCGATCTCTTCTAACTAACTTTATGCCAAGAACCTCATTAATGAAACCATTGCACAGGCCGCATGGTGGAAATTACATTTTAATTACACACTTAACCATGAAAAAGGTATCTGTGGCTTTAGGCCAAAAGGCAAAGGATCACCTCTGAGTGACAGTCCTGTTTGGCCACCACTCTGGTTTCTACTGTGTCCTAAGGGCAGTGGGCATGCTGCGGTCACACTGCTGGTCACTTACAAAGCAGGCACCAGTCAGGTCTCAGAACAGGGACAACCCAAAATAGAAAAAACAATGCCCCTTTACATGCTTTAAGAAACTAGATCTAAGGTTCAGTTCAAGGCCCATTTCCTACTGAGCAGTGGTGACTTCCTGTGTTGACTAAGCAGAGAGGAGACCAGGGAACTTTCTGGCTTGGGCGGGGGCATGGACTCTTGGCATGCTGCAGCTGGGAGATGGGAACCTTGAGCCTTGTGCATCCGTGCTTTCTGCACAGCCCCCTTGGCCCTGTTCCGTGAAAGCAAAGGCATCTGGGGCCTGGGCACAGATGCCTTAGGGAGACTGCTCTAGCTGAGCAGAAACCCTTGTAGGACCTGGAAAGACGGGGCAACCTGAATGCCCTGCACGTTCCTACTGGGGAAAGAAGAGCATTAAAATAACTGGGAGGTCTATTTTATTGGCAACTTAGGATGCAAAGTATTTTATTTTTAAACACCTAAAATTTGAAGACAAGATGCCTAAGTTAAATAATGAGGTTCCCAAAGCTGAGTGTGCTCACTTGGAGCTCCATTTTTCTGCTTGAAATACAAAAACAACCCCTAAAGCTCCCAGGTGGAACACAAATGCCCCATGGCCTGTGACTGGGTGAGCTCACGAGTCTCAGTTGGCGACATCCCTTTTTCTCCTTGGCAAGGGCTTGGAAAGCTGGACGCAGGGTCCTGGTCTACTCGGCCGACCTG